GTGATAACCAAGGTTGGGGACATAGTCCAAGGTTGGGAGCCTCCTTCTACTGCACAGGGGAGTTCCTGGTTGAGTTTTGAAGACAGTCACAGATTTGTAGAGTGAGAGCTGAGCTTAGGGCTTTAGCCATCTGTAAGATACTAGACTGGATAGACATAGGGTGAGACAGACAGACCACCAGTCAGCTCCCAATTGAATGCACTACAGACTGGTAGGCTTGAGGGATTTCTTAAATATTTATTGAGTTGGGAGAGGGAACTGATTCTTATTAATAAAAATTACATGTAAAAACAGATACACTTGCCACTGGCAGCAGGAAAATCAAAGTCCTGGAAAAAACTCAGCAAAATGTAGCTCATATTTTGTGCCTTGTTCTCTTGTCAATTTTCTTCTGTAGTTTTTTAGACAGATTGTTGCTGAGATGCATACTAAAATGTTTGAAAATCAGGCATTTTTAAAAGTGAACTCTGCTTTCTTTGTGGAGAACCTTCATCCAGCATTATTCAGGCCAGTGGCCGTGGGTGGTGGTTAGCTGATGGGTTTAGGGTGATCAGTGACTGGTCTCAGGCTTTTCATCCAATAGTTTGGGGGGTTATCATCCATTGGTCTTGGGGTAGTCATCCATTGGCCTTAGGGGTGGTCACTTGTGGATCTTGGGGGTGGTCCTCCATTAGTCTTGGGAATGGTCATTCATTGGGAGTGTTCACCCACTTATCCTGGGAGTGATTAGCTACTAATCTTGGGTGGCTCTTGCTGGTCTTGTGGGTGGTCATCAATTTGTCTCACAATGGACAACTATTGGTCTTACAGAAAGTGTCACCTAGGTTCATCAGCGTGACATAAATTTGTGCATTTTATAATATCCAACAGAGACAGGTTGATGCTGGTGAAGAATATGTCAAACATCTCTACTTTAGAATACCATTACTAAGAGGTCTCTGGTTGTATGAGGAGACCTGAGTCAACTGGCCTCATTCTTTTGATTTTTCTCAGTGGGCTGGAGTGTGCCCTTCAGGTAGGAACTTGGGATGGCCTCCTGCTGGGCAGCCTGGGTTCTGGCTTCCTGATCATGGCAGCATCAAATAAATCTATTATTCCCATGTTAACCTGATGATCTCCCATTAGAAGGCTGCCAAGGAAGAGAACCTGAGTTCTCCTGTGCTGGGAGACCCCAAACTGTCCTTTGAGGTCACTCAGCCAAAGACAACTTACTCTTCACCAGGTTGTGCATTCCTGATTCTGATGTCAAGTACTGCCAGGATTGCCCCAGGGCCAGGGCCTGTGCCATAGATGGCTTCCAGCCCTGGGTGCAAAGGTTCTTTCACAAAAGGGGCTCCCTTTGCACCCAGTATCCTTCTTAATTGCCTTAGTAAGCCTGATCTGGCCCAGGGGCCCACCCAGGAGAAGTCCCTCCCACAGGGTCTTGGGCTCTAGACCCTATATATCCCTGGCAGGCCTTCTACTCCAGGATTTTAGTTTCCTCATTTGGAAACTGAACAGGCTGGATGACATCCCTGGGGTTGCGGAGCACCCACAGTCTATGCCCTGGTTCTGAGTGTGTCCCAGGCTGTATATACCCCCGTAGTGACTGTGCAGTGGAAGGGAGGACTGACTGTCTTTACAGGTGAGGAATGGGAGGCCCAGGGAGCTTTGATGCCTGGCCTGAGATCACACACCCAGACAGAAAAGGTGCCAGGAATCCAGAACGCTGGACTCTCAGATAGTTGGCCTGTGGCTGCCCGGCAGGGGTTAATTCCCACACTTCTTTGAATGAATTCTGTTAATAAGCTGTGTTTGAGACACCAGTCTCCCTCCAAAACCACACACCATGGCAAAAAAGTGCTGGAAGTAACTCTTGCTATTGTAAACATTCTTACCATGTACCCGTGGACCGTCCTCCCTGCCCTTCCCGTCTCCCTGGGAGGATGTGTCCCGATGTTTTGGGGTCATTCATTCTCTCAGCCCACGGCATTTGCCGACTCCCTTTGCTGCTGGCGCCCTGGGACCCACAGATGAGTCAGAAGTGTGGGGGCTGCAGGGTTCCCACCAGACCTTCTCCTCTCTCCCCCATAGCCCCAGTGACCTCATTCTGCTGTTCCTGCTGCCTTTCCTGGCTGCTTGGACCTCCTCCCCTGCCATACACCCAGTGTGTCCTTATAGGTCTCCTACCCTTGCTCCTCTTCCTGTGCCTCTCAGAGAAAGGCTTTGCCCATCACCTCGCCACCCACTTCATCCGGCCACTCATCGGGACCCTGTGTTTGTTTCTCGTGGCTGCTGTAACAGGTCACTTAAAAGGACCGGAATGCTTTCTCTCATAGTTCTGGGGGGGGGCAGAAGTCTGGGCTCAGTACAGTCTGGCTGAAATAAGGATGTTGGTAGGGCTGAGCTCCCTTTGCGAGGCTCTGGGGGAGAAGCTATTCCTGGCCTCTTCCAGTTTCTGGTGGCTGCTGGTGTTCCTTAGCCTGTGGCCATTCACTTTGGTCTCTGCCTCGGTGGTCACATCATCTCCTTCTGTTCCTTGTGAAATCCCCCTACCTTCCTTTTTTGGGGGAAGTGGGCATGTGGTTGCATTCAGACCCACCCTGATGATCTCAGTCTCTGCTCCAGAGCCTCGATTTCCTCACAATTGCAAAGTCCCTTTTTACTGTATGAACTGTCATGCAGAGGTGTCCAGGATTAGGACTTGGATAACTTTTCTAGGACCTAGATAACTTGTGGCTGTTTCTCAGCCAGCCACAGATCTGGAAGCACTCCTGGGCCCTGGCATCTCCCTTATATCTGAATAAGATCTGTCCCCAAATCCTCTTCCGAGTTCTACTTCCTCAGTTCCCTGGTCTGTCCCCTTCAGGACCTCTTACCTGTCTCTGGGGCATCTGCTTCTCAGCCCCTCCCCCAGTCCCATTTGTGTTCTTCTGGTCTTTTCACCCTACAGTAGCCATCAGGTTCCCCACCATGAGTCAGATCACAGTGCTTCCTGCCCTGAACCCTTTGAGCTGCTCACTGCCCTTACCCTGGAGACCTGCTCTGTGTGACATGCCACTCAGATGTTCTTGATGTGCCCAACCACCCAACTGGTCAGTTCTTCCCATTGGCTGTGACTTGCCTCCGGGGCCTTTGCATGTGAACACTGTCCCTCTCTCTGACTGTTTGGTCAGTACAAAGTGTTGGAGCACGTTTCAGGTGGACATTACTGCCCTTGGTGACTTCCTTCTTTCCAGAGTTGGGGCCTGATGCTCTGTTCTGTCTTCCTCTGAACCTCCACCAGTCCCTACTTATGACTGGGACTTCCTCTTCCTGGATTGTCATCCGCATTCTCCACTGGCACCTCGGCTCCCCCAAGGCACTGGCTGAGTGTGCCAGGTGGATGGCTGCATCCCACTCTAATGGCAGATGCTCAGCAGGCCCTGTGGGAATACCAGCTGCTTCTTTGTCCTTGAAGGCTCCTAGCTGGCATCAGGACAGAGCCCAAACAGTACCCTGCAGGTCATGGAGAAGGAGGGCAGCCTGTACATTCATTTTGTCCCCTCTCCCAGCCAGGACGATGATGTGGCAGAGGCCATTTGGGTTAGTTTGAAGGTTTCTGAACATCTGGATGGGTAATGCCAGGGATTGCACACTGGTTTGTACAGCCCTAGCTGGATAGGAAACCTAGGTCCATCTAAGCCAGTATTGGATGGACAAAGAAACACAGGTTTTTCTAAGAGAATCTGGAAATTTGGTCAATGATGTGGAGTCTCCTAGTTTTTGCATCTGAACAACCAATTCAAGCTTTAAAGAAAAAGCCCTGCTGGTCAGAATTGTGTGATCTAAAGGAAGTACATCTGCAAGTTGGACACTGTGTAAGCTCCCAGTGTAAGATCTTTGGTTTTGGGATAGTGGACCAAAAAAAAAAAAACCCAAAGTTTGGGAGCCTAGAGCATTCGTAGGATTGAGTAGTGATGGCAGAATGGCCCTGAGGAGGGCAGCAACTTGTGGCTGCATTGGAGAGGGGAGCAATTGGGAGGATGTGAGCCAGGTGTTGAAGAGAGAGTAGGGGTTTACCAGATGCCCAGAGTGGGAGCTGGGAGCAGGAACACCCACACTGAGGACCTGGCAGGTTTGGGTACATGTGGACATGCACAACCCAGGGGCCAGTGTGAGGGCTGGGAGAGCAGGAGAAGGCCGAGAGCCTTGAATGCCACAGAACAGGGCCACCTGAATCCAGACAGAAATGAAATAGCAAGGGGTTTGCAGCAAGGAAAGGCCATGGCTGGTCTTGGTGGGGAGGCAGCAATACACTGGCCTGTATTATCCGGTCCTGTGGCAAGTCAATGGGGGACAGTAGGGACTGTGACTAGCAATAGAGTGCATGTCTGTCCAAGATTTCTACTGCTGGGCAGTATGTAAGCCCACTTTGGTCAGAGGTTGCATTTTTCCAAGGATAGTTGAAATTATATTTTGAAAACAGAAATCTCATCATTTTGAGTGTTGGATTCAGAGTTTAAAAATATTGTTTGGCCCAAACTGAACTTTTGTCTCTGGGTGGACTCAACCCACAGCTGACAGTTTTGACCTTTATCTTAAACTCTGGGCTCCTGGAGGGTGAGGATGACCCTTGACTTTATTTGATGCATCTTGATGTCCTTGTAGGGCCACATAATAGATGTAGAGCTGCACTTGAATTCCTTCAGGCTGTTCTTAACATTTTGGGTTTTACAGGTACAGTAGTTTTTCTGGAAGGAGAATTGAGGTTTGGGGTGGGAGGATGACCCAGGAGAGCCCCTCCCTCAGAAAGGACTCAACATTATCTAGCGGCGATGTCCTCTGCAGATGGAGTCTCTGAGCAAGTAAGGGACCACCTTTGTGCCCTCCAGCCAACCCAGGGTTCTAGCTGAGGACTAGCTGGGGTATCAGGCAGGATCCTCAGCTGGGCTGTACTGCCCGCTGGGGCCCTCCTCTCTGTTCCCCCTCCCTAGTCTATTGTAGTTGGGAATTTGAACCTCTCAACTTTGCCCCCTCAGGCTGGTTTAATCCGGACGGAGGAGGAGGAATTCTTCATCGAGCCTCTGGAGAAAGGGCTGGTGGCGCAGGAGGCTGAGCATGGCAGAGTGCACGTGGTATATCGCCGACCGCCCACCCCTAAAACCCCTCTTCTGGAGGGTCCACAGGCCTTGGACACAGGTAAGTGGGCGCGCTGTGTGTCCTCTTCTGCAGACAGGATTGAAGACAAGGCTGAGCCCCAGCCTTACTGGCTCAGGAATGGGCCAAGTGTGTGGCTGACTGCATGGCCTAGTGGGGTGTTGGGGCCAGTCCTCTGCTCTGGGTGCATGTAGGTGATTAACAGCCTAAGTACCCACTGCTTACAGGTCGGGACTGTCCTAGAGGAAAGCAAAGGCTGTCCAAGGACCCACATTCTTCTGCAGGGTTGGCAATTACTGGGGAACAGGGGGTCCCAGACCAGGCCTGCATCCCTGGCCTGAGTGCTGTGCCCATGAAAAAGGCATTTGTGTTTCCTAGGCAGCCCTCTTCTCCTTCCTGTGTGCAGCCGCTATCCCTGTGACAGTCCCTGTCATATGCCAATTCTTCCCTGGCTGCTCATAGGGAAAGACTCTGAGTGCTCTTTCGGGATCCCCCAGAGGGATGTGCGTGGTAAAGACCCTAGAGATGTTCCCAGCAGTCTCAGCACACATTCCAGGGATTTTGTCCTTTTTCAACTAAAGCATGCTTTGGGTCCAGGAATGTGGAAGTAGCTGCTGGGTGGCCAGGGGGATTGGTCGCCTAGCCATAGCCTCATGGAGCTAGTCCTACTATGTCATTCCAAATCTCCTTGGCATTCTCTGGATTTCTCCTTCTAGCTTGTGAAGAGGCCAGGGTCAGGGTCCATAGAAGTTCTTCAGGGCTCACAGTTCCCAGGCCACCTCACTTGTGCCTGGGTGATGAGTGGCTTTGAGCTCAGCCTTCGGCCTCTGGCCCTGGACCCCTGGCTGAGGAAAGCCACTGCACGTGGTTGCACAGTAGGTAACCTGGCATCGCTCTGGAGGCTCCTGGCGGGGGCAGCTCCCAGTGCTGTGATTTACTGAAGTACTTCATCCCTCCAGAGCAGCCGTGGCTCATTTATTTTAGGTCTCCCTGACTTTCCAGCTTGACAGATCAATTGGGTGCAGCTTGGCAGGGCACCATTCTAATTTCAAGAAACCGTGTCAGATACCTTTGCAAAGGAATTGTTCCATCAGGAAGCCCAGTGTTCTCAGGAGCTAATCAATACTTCTGTGGCCCCCTCTTCTCTGATAATGAATTGCTGTCCACCTTGGCTGCCACCAGCTGGACCACTGGGTGCTGCCTGCTCAGCCTTGCCCAGCCTCAGCCTAGCCCCTCCTACCTCATTCCCACCTTTTTGCTTTTCTGCAGGGAGAGCAACCTTGTAGGGCCAGAGTCAAAGTGGGACAAGGGGAGAGCTCTAGACCTGAGGTCAAGGCCCCCTCTGAACTTGCTTCTTTCTGACCATGGGCAAGTTTGGGCCTCTGGTCTCTGCTTTTTCTTGTGTCTGCTGGGTTTGTAAATGTTTGTTTCCAGAAAGCTTACTTCTGCACTGGCCTCCACTGGAAGATTCTGGATGGTTCTGCCCCTTGTACCTATGCCAGGCAGTGTAAAGTGGAGTCTGCACAGTGGAGCTGGCCAAGTGCCCTTCACCATGACTCTGATCCCAAATTCCATATGGTGCTTATCTTTCTAAACATGGAAGCCCTTCCCCCATGGCCTCAATGGCCCGACTTTATTTTCTGGACTTCTGGTGTTTTGGCATCTTCTGTTGAATCCTCCCTCCACCTCACAACCCCAATCCACATATCTTTAATGAGAACTTGGAACTGAGAACACAGGAAAGGAATTTCAAACTCTGAATAAGCCCAGAAACCATTGGCCTTAGAAGGTGCTGGATAAAGCCAGCAGCACAGGTCAGGGGGTGAGGCTGGGCTGGAAGGTGGGTGGGGGTAGGGGTTGGTAATTGGCCCCTGGGAAGGAGGTGAACCTGTCCAAGGCTGAGCTCTAGGCCTCTGTGTCAGCTCAGAGTCCCTAGTCAGGAGCTTAGATTGTGGGTGTGCATGTGGGCCTTGGGCTGTAAGTTCAGATTACAGACCTATGGTCTGGGGCTTAGACCCCTTTCTTTGACATCCCTGTCCAGTGTCAGCATGGCACTGCATGAATGACTCAGGTCCACAGAGAATCTGTTTCCCTTTGGATGTGCCTGATTGTTCCCTTATGGCCTAGGGCTGAGGTCGACTCATTGACTGGACAGGATCCAGACATAGTTTATGCTGGGTCTGGGCCGAGGGCCTGGGGTGACCTCAGATGGTTCAACTTTCCATTGGCCTGGGCCTTGTTAGGACCCAGAGTGGCAGCCGGGGATATATAAAAGTTGTGTCCTGTGGCTGTGCATAGCAGCAAACACACCCTGCTGGGCACAGAATCCCAGAACTTCAGTGCAAAGGGTGTGTGTGTTTACAAGAGTGGCATTATGGTTTGGGTGTAGTTCGTCTCTCAAAGGTTCATGTGCTGGAAGCCAGGTCCCCAGTGTAGTGGTGCTGAAGTGGTGGGACCTTTAAGAGGTGGGGCTTAGTGGGAGGGGGTTAGGTCATGGGGGCTCCACCCTCAAGAATAGATAACATTGGTTTCATGGAGTTGGTTGGGACTTATAAAGGCAGATGGTTAAAAAACAAGACCATCCTATGTGCTTGATCTTTTATACACAGCTTTTCCCTTTCTGCCTCCTCACCAGGTTGGATGCAGCCAAGTGGGTCCATACTAAGATGCTGGTTCCATGCTCTTTAGATCCTCTAATCAGCAGAATCATGAAGTAAATGAACTCTTTACTTATAAAGTATTCTGCCTCAGGTATTTTTTTTATAGTAATGCAAAACACTAGGGGACTGTAGTAGTCTGCTTTTTGTTACTATAATGAAATACCCAAGGCATGCTAACTTTATAAAGAAAAGAGGTCTATTTAGCCTACAGTTTGGAGGCTGAAAGTCCAAACTTTTTCAAGAGATCCCACTGATTGGGTGGCTGGTGAGATTCAGGTCATCCATACACCTGAGAAAGGCCCACAGCCCCAAGGAGGCCTTGGGCTGATGGCTTCACAATGGCAGGAACACATAGGAAAGTTAAGAGATCACATCTCCAGAAAGGAAGCCCAAAGGCGACTCAGTGACCAGGCTCACTCTTCTAAAAACTGCATGTTGCAAGAACTCAGAGGTCCTACAAGAGCTACATTAATCCCTTCTAAGGGGAGCTCCTACAGTGATCTACAGAGCTCCTATTAGGCCTCACTGCTTAAAGGTTCCACCACCTCTTAGGATCACTGCTCTGGGGATCAAGTTTCTAAAGTGTGAACCCTTGAGAGATAGATCATATCCAACCCATAGCTGTGACTCTTTCTTCCAGTAAATTCTGGTTGGAACCCTAATGCATCCATGAGCTTCTGGCTGAAGCAGGCAGGAGGTGCTGACTCCTGACTCCCCAAGGCCACTTCTGGAGATGCATAGAGAACGTCCCACTCTTCATTGATGGTTCACGGGTGTGTTGCATCCCATGGGGAAGGGGACACACCCACCCCAGGCTTTTGAGGTTGGTGATGCCTGGGCATTCCTGGGGCCCACATGACTGACTGCTCCTCAGGGGTGCTGAGACGATTGTCTGGTTTTCTGTGAGAAGCCCACAGGCTGCCTAGGGTGACCTCAGGGCTTACAGAGCCTCAGAGAATCATTTCACTAATAGTCTGTCATGTTAGATCAGTTGCTGGGCTGCAATTTGCCTGGGGACATGGAAGGAAAATGAGGGTTTTCACAGGTTTTCTCAGACTCACACTGGGGTTGGGTGTGCTGGGTAGGTGGTTTAGCTCACAGCAGTCTCGCCCTCCAGCCCTGGAGGAGGCTGTCAGGAAGGGTGGAAGGTTGAAGAGGAGGAGGACCCTTTTTCTCCTCACTGTCTCTACTGGTGTCTGTAGAAGCATCTCTGTTTAGCTCTGCTGGGACAGGAGGCAGAGCTCTGGGGCCAGGGCACCAGAGTGGCCTTTTGGGGGAAGGTGGCCGAGACATCACCATCAGCCTCCTTGGGGCTGTGGGCCTTTCTCAGGTGTATGGATGACCTGAATCTCTCTCTGCCCTCCCTAAGGCCTGCCTTGGATGCTATATTGTGGGGGTGAGGGAAACCATGTTTTATGTGCACGTGTGCGTGTGCATGTGTGTGTGCTCATACACACATGTATGTGAACAGGGTACAGCTCTGTGCCTGAGCCCTGCCGTGGCTTCCATCTCTCGTCTCTGGGGTTGTTGAAGAGGGAGCCAGAAACACAATACAGGACGGAGGAGCCTGGCCCTGGGAACAGAAGCCTGGATTTAGAACTAGGTGACCCTGACTTCGTCATTCCCTCTAAGCCTCAGAATACAGTGATACACCAGCTGGGGGTTTAAAAGAATAGAAATTTATTACCTTATAATTTTGGGGATCAGAAATTGAAATCAGTTTCACTGGGGCCCAAATCACCGTCTTGGGAGGGCTGTGCTCCCACCGGAGTCTCTCTAGGAGAGATATGTTCCTTGCCTCTCCCAGCTTCTGGTGGTTACCAGCCTCCCCTGGTTTATGGCTGTGTCTCTCCAATGTCTGCCTCTGTGGTCCCATCACCTCCTCTTTTGTCTGTCTGTGTCCCATCTCCCTTTGCCTCCCCTTGCAAGGTTGCATGTGACTACATTTTGGCTTCATCCAGCTCATCCGGGACAGTCTGTCCATATCAAGATCCTTAATCAGATCACATTTGCAAAGTCCATTTTTGACATTCCCAAAGTACCAGTCACAGGTTATGGGAATCAGGACTTGTTATCCTTGGGGTCACCATTCAGCCAGTTTCAAGAGGTGAATTGACCCTCATACAAGGCTGGCTACATACTGGACAGAGCACACATTTCTGAAACACCCATGAAGGGCCCACATGGAGCAACATCTAGATCCAGTCTCAGCCAGATGGTGCCCCACACCTGGAAAGGCTAGTCCAGGCTGTGGCTGGGCTGATCCCAAGAAGCTGGCTTTGGCGTTGGCATTGAGGGCCTGGCTGTCTTAGCCTTCAGGGGGCTGAAATTGGGATTCTGTGAAAATCCCTAGAGCATACTCTGTGCATGCAATCTTCCTTT